TATATATATATATATATATCTCCTCAGATATTTAGTCTAGATACAGTAACAGCCAGAAATCTGGATGTAATCACATTTTGCCCCAGGAGATTGTCTCCAAGGGACTCATTAACACACAGCAGTGTCCATGTGAGTGTGCCTGGAGTTGAGGTTGGAGCCAGCCCTCCAGCGCCCTGAGGTTTGTACAGCGTGTCAGAGGAGAGCAGAATCATATCACACCCAGTCAGTTTGGACACACTGACAGCTCAGATTGTGCACAGAATAAGAGCCAGCGCTCTTTTAATGCTGCATCATATGAGGAGAACATATCAGGCTCTTCTTTACTCTAATATTATTATTCCTTACCAAGTAAAAAAATAGAGACAAATGGAAATAGAGATCTGTTTGTTCACCATCTTGCGGGGGAACAGTTGCCTTGTCAAGTAAAGGAAAAAAAAGATAAAGCAACAGTAGTATTATTGTGTTTGGAGCAGCTGCCAACATGGATGACTAAACGCTGCCTGCAGCCTTTCTCTCCTCCGCTTGTTTCACATGAATATTGCAAAGTGGAAATATTTTTTAAGCTCAATGATGAGTTCAGGAAAAAAAATAAAAATAACATCAACAGCTGGATCGGTGAGCCAACAGTGAATTTATAAAATGGAGTAAAGGTGATCACAGCCACAAAGAGTTTTGTAATTACTCGGTCGTTTCAGTCGATTGTTTTTCTTTTTCCATCGCCCACACGCAACACCTGACCCGTTAATAGTATCCCCTTTGATCCGCTACTTTTGATTTAATGCTTAGCTGAGAGTAAAACAAACAGTGAGAACGCATCAACAGGATGTGACAGACGTGTACGTTTACAGCTTTATCCAGGTCTTGGCAAAGATGGGATGTGTGAGCTGTTGCACGCCGCCCGGCTGTTTCCGCTGACAGACGTGACGCCGCCTCACCTGGCAGAACATTAAAGGCCTGACAATAACCAGTCGGTCGACTCTCCTTTCTGTCTCCTTTTTCCACTTTAATCTCAACTGGCACACTTACAGGTCATTTGAAGTGGCTTCACCATTTCCTTCTTCTCTGTTTCATCCTTATCATGTCTGCTTCTCCTTCCTCCTGTACCTTTCCCATTTCATCATCCCAGTATGGATTTTGCCACCCTCATCCAACTTGCACAGCACGTCTGTATTCATTTTGAAACCTTCAGAGCGCTAAAAGTGCATAGGAGAAACTAGGCAGGGTCATTGCTCTATGCTTGCTTTCCCCCTAGATCAGCCCCACTGCTCTATGGCAGCAGTGGTCCGTAGAGAGCCCATAGCTAAATGGACTATCTATTGGCTCAATGAGAAAATAGCCTCTCTTTTTTTTTTTCTCTCAATTGTAGGAGGACCCTTCATTTAATGTGTGATGCACGCGCCTCGGCTCGTAATAGGTTCAGCATCTTTGTTGTCGGGAGACAGGAGAAAATGAAATTTGCTTTTCAGCTGGCAGAAATAATTTACTCTCTGAAAGGTGTATTTTTCATCAGCTGTTTAGAAGCCAAGAGATGTGCAAGGTTTGATATTAGATGTGTGTAGCGTGTTGAAGATCTAGCCTGAGTGTTTCCATGTAACAGAGGTGTATTTATCAAAGCTTTGGGGTTCGCCTGGCAGCTCCCTAAAAATAGATTTTTTTTTTTTTTATTACTTCTTGTTGTTGGTGGGGTGTCTGCATGCAGTTTTTTTATATTTTAATCTATGTACAAAGTATGTACTAGGGATGCACGATATTGGGATTTTGGCCGATATCCGATATGCCGATATTTTAAAACTCATGTAGCCGATAACCGATATCGATAC